AAAAAATATTTCTCTTCATGTAGGGAAATGCAACGTAATATGAACATCTTTTATTTAAATCACTGTAGGTGCAATAAATATTATAAAAATCGTTCTCTTATCATTAGATTCTATGTCCAATTGATAATTTCAAAAATAATCATTCTTTCAATTGCTTAACGACGTTTAATGAATTTAGTATAACAAAACGTATTTGGAGCACAGCCAATTAGGAATTTTGAGCCAATTCGATGATGGACATTATTATTCGCTATTTCTCTGCATTATTTACAATTTTTTTCATTTTTAAAGAATCCCACTAGACAGTCTATCAATCAACTAATCACTAAATACTTAATTTATCTATTTACGTGTGTTTAAACCTCGAAAAATCTAAAAAATTGAGAATTAAACAATTTTGTATGAATACCCGTTATATTTCCGGTGTCAGTACTAGCTCAGCATCTCCTCTATTGTTGGAATATTCCATCCGGATCCTAATTATGCAATTTTGTAGCACAAATTAATATTTTCGTTTTCTCCGAGGGGATGGTCTGTAAAACATATGAACATTTTGCAAACTTTGCAATTTCTTCAATCCCATTCATAATTGAATTAATTATGAATTGAGATTAGTGAACGCACAATGCCAGAAAAGAAAGAAAATGAACAAAATTATTTGAGCAAATGCTGATTCAATAGAAGATACTTAACAAATTTCAACGAACGTCGTATCTCAAAATGTATGCCCTAGAATTCAAGGTATGCATCCCTTTGCAGAGAACTTTTGATAAATTCAATTCATTCAAAGGACTCACCCGAGAATTTCCGCAATGCAAAAGCAAACGTCATCTTAACCCGGGATGTACGAATTGTACGACGTAATATACGAGAGTATTTTCACCAGTGATCCTCTCGAGTCGAAAACCAGACAAGCGAGCATCTCAGCAAATCCCTCACAAAAGGCCGTGCATGTAGTCAAGGTGAATTCTAGAGCAGATTAAAAAAAAAAGGAAGGTAAACGATTTTGGTAAAAGCTGGAAAATAAATTAAAATCCTCACAACTCCATTTTAATTTATTCTCATCCGAACGACTGGTTCATCTTATCACGTTAACACGTACCCGTTCTTCACCCTCGGCTCCTCTCCCAACTCATACCCTCCATTTATTTTTTTATTGATTTTACTTTTTCACTCATGGTCTATTTGTACCCTTTATTTACCTCGTTCTATAACCTCCTACTTCACTTTTCCTCAGCTCTTATCTCCGCTCGACGCTCTTTCTCCAATGCGCGTTCTTTGTCCTGGAATAGTGGGAGATGAGTGCCATTTTAGTTTCCATACAGAAAACCCCAGGCACTTTGTGTTTGCCTCTTCACCTCGCTACTCTCTCCTCATATATATTTTTTCCTCTCCTATTTTGTTTTCCGAAAGACACCTCCACGGAGAAAATCCTCCTTTCCTCGTAATTCTTATCACCGAAGAAAACTTATTTATAGCCAATCGCTTCTGCACGGCTGCGCAGCCAACGCGTGCAGAAAATCCATGCATTCAGGATATATTTTACCTAATTTTCAACTTGAGATGCTCGAAGGGAATAGTTTTTTTTCCTTCCAAATGGAAATTTGGTAATCCCTCCATTTTTTTATTCGCTAATTTTCCTTGGATGTCACTTGAAATGTTTAAGTAATTGATAGCAAGTAGATCATTAGAAATTAAAAGTTATAAATGTCGACAATACGCAAAGTAACAGTCACATGACTTCTGCAACATACAATCTACCAGCAGCTGTTTTTTTTTTTGTTCAATTGCTGATGATCGGGGGGTGGATTAATCTTGGTAAGTACTTGCAATAGTTTAGTAACGCCCGGGGAGTGGTTTTATTGGCTCTTGGCTTTATTTATTTTTATCGGTGGAACGATTGTATTGAGATGGTGATGCGTCACACGTACCCCCAGGATGTCTTTTTT